CAAATGGCAGGCGTTTTTGATAGTTATCATTAGTCCTTTACCTGACTTCGGGGCTTCACAGAGAAGAGGAGAATCATCGAAGTGGCAAAAAGTCGAGGGAAAGAGAGAGGAAGGGGCATAATTATGATTCACAGATGTAAAAGAGACAGGCAGACATAAATGCGGAGAAAAGGTAATGTGAACACTGTGAAGGGGTCGAATATCACATACTGTGGGGATGATGGTAGTTTGAAGTCAGAAGTCAACTGCCGGTAAATAGACATTTTGGCCGTATGAGTATACTTTGCCCAGGGTGCACCACGCGGACGTAAGTCTATCGGTTGGCTGTCTGTGCCACTAGGTCAAGTCGATAAGGCCCGGATGGCTGAATCGCAGGCAAAATTGCAAGAATAATCTAGAAATACAGAATATTACGATTGGAATCACACTAACTAGAAAGCTCATTGAATAGTTCTTAGAAATTTTTTGAAAGGTTTCATCGGGAACAGCTGCTAGTGGGTATTTGTGTTGAACGTTCCATGTTGAGTTTGAAATGCTTTAGATCCCAAATAACGTTCAGTAACAAGCGCTGTTAGTTCGATTGCAAAAAACAATCAACAGATCTGCTTTCCACAGAAACGCAACATATAGCAATATGCATTTTCCGCAGTTAACTGGGCATCACGTGTCCCCATATAAGCACTCTAGATCACTTACGGTATAAGGACGGACAAAAACCACTTTTATCTTAGTCATCTTGAATATCTTATTCTTGAATGCTGTTTCGTGATTTCTTAATATGCTTACTTTCAGCCAATACGGTACTGAGGAGAGGGTTTTGGCTAAAGTCCTCACTACAAGGAGTTTTAATCACATCAAATTATTGGCTCCATATTTCAAAAAAGTAAGCTACGGCACTTCACTTGAAATTAATTTTATTTCATCTGTTCCCACCTTTTTTAACTTCTTTTAGAAATACCTCATCATGTTAAATAGATACATTATTTACGCACTCTCTGGAGACTACTCCAGGACTCTACTATCCATTGGTAAAAACTAATTTTGCAATATTTATTATTTTATCAATTAATCAACTTGATCAAAGTGTATATTTTTCACATGCATATAAGAAGTCTTTAGGAATACTTGAATTTGGCATTTTGGTGTCGTTTAGATGAGAACCATAATCTCTATCACACTGCGAATTGAACAGAATGAGCCAATGCGAATAGTCTTCCTTTCATTGGTAGTTGAACATATGACCCCTACTTGTATGTTAAATATATTAGTGCCCTCAATGTCCCTTAAGTTAACTATTTCGAGTAGCTTAGTTCGGCACAACTCATCTTGTAGTATCAAGCTCGTGATTAGGGGTCACCGATTCAAGGTAAATAAGCTATTTGAACTCTAACCATGTGACTTGATTATGGTTGGCTAGGAAAATTTTACAACTCGATACAAAAATGTAATTTGACGCACTAAACCTTAACATAATTACGTTTATGAAAAGTTTATGAGTAAAATTCTGCAATTGACTTAATCAAATAGCTCTAACTTAGAAAATATCACTATTTGCACGGTTCGTGAACTATTGTTTTTTCTTTCCTTTTTAAAGTCAAGTTTGCCGTAGATCCTACAGATTTGTATGCAAACTGGATATACGACGCAATAAAAGCACCAGGAGCAGATAATGAAGATTTGATTCGGCTGATTCTCTCGAGAGCTGAGGTACTTTTCATTTTTAATTTACATTTCTTAATATTACGTTACTTGCAATATCAACATAAAGAGCACCACTTAAAATCCAAGAATAGCGAATAGGTCAATATTGTTGAGCTATGATATATTTTGTACTAGGGGTATGATTCCATGTGAATGGTTGAGTTACAGTCACTAATTGAAATATTAATTCATGTGACGAATAATTTTTGATTAAGTGGGGTGTGCGATAGACTTACCTCCACGTGGTACACCCTGGGCAACATATACTCATACGGCAAAAAAGTCTATAAACTGGCAGTTGACTTCTCACTTCAAACTACCATCACCCCACTGTATGTCATATTCGACCACTTCCACAGTACTCACCTCACCTTTTTTTCTACCATTGTGCCTGTCTCTTTTACATCTTTGAAAAACTCTTCTGTTCCCCCCCTCCCTCTCGACTTTTGCACTTTGATGTTCCTTCCCCTCTATGAAGCCTGAAGTCAACTAAAGGGCTAATGATAACCATCAAAACGCCTGCCATTTGATATAAATAAATAAATAAATTTTTAGANGACTTACCTCCTCGTGGTGCACCCTGGGCAACGTATACTCATACGGCAAAAAAGTCTATTAATCGGCAGTTGACTTCTGACTTCAAATTAACACGACCCCCCTGGTTGTCATATTCGACCCCTTTCACAGTACTCCCCTTACCTTTTTCTCTACCTTAGTGACTGTCTGCCTCTTTTACATCTGTGAATCGCTCTTCTGTTTCCCACCCCTCGACTTTCTGCTACTTTGATGAACTTTCCCTCTCTGAAACCCGAAGTCAGCTAAATGGCTATTGATATCTATCAAAACGCCTGCCATTTGAAATAAATAAATAAATTTTGAGAATCAATAGTAAAAAATATGACTCAATTAACCATAATCATCCCATTTTATAATTTTCACAAATTTTATGAATAAATATGATTTTTAAATTATTCCATGACTGGTAAATGGCAAACAACAACATATCAGTATCTCTTCAGATATGAATAATTTATAAAGCACTTACCAAGGTGTATTTTCGCATGCGTGTTGAGGGTTGAACTTCGATTGAAAGCTTTGCCACAGACGCGACATACATGCGGTTTCTCCGAAGTGTGGATTATTTTGTGTCGACACAGAGTACTCGCCTGACGGAAACCCTTTCCACAAACCTTGATTTCCATTTAAAGAAATCGTTTCATCAAGAATAAATACCATATTTGCACAAATAGTTACCAAATACACATCCGTCTCAGCTAAAATCATATCAAGGAAACTTCAACTAATTAACATTTTGGATGATCAATTATTGGAAGAAAACGAATTTAAGGACTGACTAATGAACACTATAGATTAGTAAACATAATTAATCCAGCAAGGGGTGTGTGATAGACTTACCTCCACGTGGTGCACCCTGGGCAACGTATATTCATACGGCAAAAAAGTCTATTAACCAACTGTTGACTTCTGACTCCANGGAGACAGAAGGGTGATTCAAAGATGTAAAAGAGACAGACACAAAGGTAGAAAATGGTGAGGTGAGTACCGTGAAAGAAATCGAATATGACATACAGTGGGGTGATGGTGGTTTGGAGTCAGAAGTCAACAGTTGGTTAATAGACTTTTTTGCCGTATGAATATACGTTGCCCAGGGTGCACCACGTGGAGGTAAGTCTATCGCACACCCCTGCTTTAAGTATTAAAGAAGGAAAAAAGGCAGTTTGACCATCATAATATCGGAATATGCTTTAACCCAATATTTTTAAAATGGATCATATTTCAACTTGACCGAAGCAGAGAAGTAGCTAAAGCTGTCTGGGCGTACTCGCAAATATTTCCTCGCCTCTTTTCAAATTCAAAATTTTGATGGCATTTATCCCCTTTATCGACCATTGTATTGCATGTAGAGAGTATGAGAAAAACAAAAGGTAAAATTTTATTTGTAGGTGACTTGACATATCAATAGGAATATTAATTGTGTAGAAGAAAATAAAAAACGCTGGGAGAACTATAACTAAAAGCCTCTTTGGTTAGGTTGCTTAACAGGTCCGTGAAGGGAGGCAAAAGACGCCAGTTCACTCCTTGTAAATTGATATCCTATGAAGATGCTGCAACAACTTAAACCCAATTCTAGTCACGCGTTTGCATGCGCTAAATTGTAACCAAAATGAAGGCCGATCAGTGAAAAGCGCACCTTACTGTCTCTACTGACAACAGTGTCAAAATTCACGATGAGATTAAAGCCCTAATTAATATTATGCTAATATATATATATATATATATATATATATATATATATATATATATANATACGACGCAATAAAAGCACCAGGAGCAGATAATGAAGATTTGATTCGGCTGATTCTCTCGAGAGCTGAGGTACTTTTCATTTTTAATTTACATTTCTTAATATTACGTTACTTGCAATATCAACATAAAGAGCACCACTTAAAATCCAAGAATAGCGAATAGGTCAATATTGTTGAGCTATGATATATTTTGTACTAGGGGTATGATTCCATGTGAATGGTTGAGTTACAGTCACTAATTGAAATATTAATTCATGTGACGAATAATTTTTGATTAAGTGGGGTGTGCGATAGACTTACCTCCACGTGGTACACCCTGGGCAACATATACTCATACGGCAAAAAAGTCTATAAACTGGCAGTTGACTTCTCACTTCAAACTACCATCACCCCACTGTATGTCATATTCGACCACTTCCACAGTACTCACCTCACCTTTTTTTCTACCATTGTGCCTGTCTCTTTTACATCTTTGAAAAACTCTTCTGTTCCCCCCCTCCCTCTCGACTTTTGCACTTTGATGTTCCTTCCCCTCTATGAAGCCTGAAGTCAACTAAAGGGCTAATGATAACCATCAAAACGCCTGCCATTTGATATAAATAAATAAATAAATTTTTAGATTAAGTCAAAAATTTAAATGTTTCTCATGTTCATTGGTGCGTTCTCTCAGTTCCCCTTTCCATTGCTACGTTAATGATTGTTTAAGTTACCATTGTTTCTCATCCACACCTCGACTTACCATAGATATGGGTTCGAATCTTTGTGCCATTGAAGCTTAAGTGTGTCTTAATGATCGCGGCAAAAAATGAAACTATTAATTTGAGTTTTTTTAGTTGTACCCGAACACATTTCCCAATTGATGATTGCATTGACATTGCGTATCTGTTAAATATCAATTCCTGCCTTTTAGTCATATTTCATTGTATTCTAAGGTCTATCTCCATTCAGTTTCTCTGCCACTTCCATCATTTCCACTTGTAATATTTCATTAGAACTTAAGTACTCAAAGGATCTTAGAGAATAACAAGGCTAACTTAAAGTCAAAATGGCACTCATAAATGGTTTCAAATGTTAATCTTCTAGTAACCGGTTCACAACGCCGATTTGACTGTAGATATCTTATGTTTAATGTCCTTTTGTATTCTTGGATGGGGATACGTAATTGACAATTCAGTCACCATAGGAGAATGAAGATTTCAATTGTACTGGCCCCCCCCCTTGTAAAACTTCACTCAACCCCTACTCAGCCAGTTGAGAAGATATATTGAAGATAGAGAGAAAGGTCAATTGAAAAAAAGAGGCTTATTACCGTGACAAAGGGGGTTGGTTGCAAAGATAATATAGACAGTGCAAGACGAACATGAATGTACTTTTAGTGAACAGTAAAAGTACACCTGACTGCAGCGTGGATGACTGCTCATGCTGTCGTCATCACGCCTAAATGCACCGACGACTATGTCATTGGCTCTATAGGGCCCAAAATGGGTGCGTTGATAATAGATAAATATCAGACATTCTCAACCGTTCATTGAAATCTACGCCATTTCCAAATATCCCAGTTAAATGTAAATAGTACTGAAATTGTGTAGTCATTATAGAACGCTGAGTAAATTTCGTTGAAGTGGTAATTTGATTCTAAAATCGCTTTGTAAATACAGTGATATTCATTACATTTACACTTTAACTTAACATTTGTCAATATTTGCTCTTTTAATAGATTAATCTACAGAATATCAAGGACGCCTATCGTGCAATATCAGAGAAGACCCTAATTGAAGATATCGAGGAAGTGACATCTGGAGACTACAAGAATATGCTGGTTGCTCTGGTCAATGGAAACTTTGAAGAACTTCAAGACTGCAAAACTGAAAATTCGTAATTAAGATTTTTAAGAGCTATTAAAAAATCTATAGGAAGTTTACATGAATAAATGGCCTGAATGAATATGTCTTCATTGATTTATTGACACTTTCTCAAAGCATTTGTCGTTAAAAATGTTTTAAAGTATCTAATTCATCATGAAATTGAGTTAATTTTTTTATCTTGATGAGTTAAATGATGTTGAGAGTGACTTGAATAAGTGTTAGTTGTCATCGTTAGAAGTCACGGGTTCGACGCTCGTAGAAGTACACCCATTGAGCCTGAGAATTTGGGTTTTTAAGTGATTCTCATGGAATTGGTTTAATTCCAATTAATTTTAGCTCGTTGACCGACCATAAGTAAGGTATATCCTATATGGCATGTGAAACCTCTCAATTCAACTCGCCCACTCAATTTTAGAATCATGAATGTGAAAGCAGTTGTGACGCTTTTAAAGTTCCCTTTCTGATACTCGTAGTTCGTAATAGTCGACATAATCTGTAAGTTCTATTGGTAATAGAAGAAAAATGGTTTTAACTATCGCCGCTAAATCCGTGTCAAGTATTTTCCCTTTATCATATAATTTGAACCTCCCCCCCAGTGTTCGCATAGTTTCGATTTTACCCATGGCTAGACTGATTCGTCGTTACACTTAGCTGTGGGATGTAAAACGAAATCCGATAATCAATCGGCGAGCGTAATTATAGGTGATCCGTAATTACACTAATAATTATATTGCTGAAATTAATTAGTACATGTCATAGTAACTTGTCTTAAATTGATGAAAGTTAATAGGGCCTAAATCTACTACCTATGTCAAAAATGGGAAGTAACACCATTGGGGGACACGTTATCGCTTTGTGCGTCATCGTATGCCTGCATGCCAGGATTGGGAGGTGCGGCCGTACAACTCTGTGTGCAGCGACCGTACAAACAGTGACCAATCATTAACCTCTGTTTGTTTAATCTAATTCCCCATCCTGATCATTTATTTATAGCAAATGGCAGGCGTCTTGATGGTTATCATTAGCCTTTTAGTTGACTTCAGGCTTCACAGAGGGAAGAAACATCAAATTGAAAAAGTCGACAGGGGGGGGGGCACAAAAGAGTGTTTCAAAGATGTAAAAGAGACAGACAGATACAAAGGTAGAAAAAAGGTGAGGTGAGTACTGTGGAAATAGTCGAATATGGCATCGAGTGAGGTGATGGTAGTTTGAAGTGAGAAGTCAACTGCCAGTCAATAGACTTTTTTGCCGTATGAATATACGTTGCCCAGGGTGCACCAAGTGGAGGTAAGTCTATCGCACACCCCCCCCCCCATCCTGATCATGAGTAGCTCCCTGCTCCGTGCTACACGTCTGTTTCCTTTATATTTGGGCTATTGGTTAGCTGGTTCTGGAAGTCTAGCTAGATGTTGGAGAATCTGTCATAGAGATTTCTGAGTCGGTCAGGTTTTGCTAGCGTAGCAATCCGCTACACCATGCTTTCAGAAGATGGTGGTCCTATGTGGAGGTACTCCTTGGTAATATTTCCATGCACTACTCATAGCTTGAGTTTTCTAAGCCATACTTATTCCCAGTATGTTCTAATTGGCGAAAACCTTTAATGAGCCTGTGAAATATCGAATCCTGGCGTACTTTACTGTCTTCAAAACGTCTGGAATAATAATAAAAATTTCCATTAAGTGTGCATTCAGCCCTTAAGAAGTCCTTAAGTAGGTAAAATATGCAAGTATATTTTGGATTAAATTTTTTTTATATTAAAAACAATATTAATTCCCTTGACAATGTTTGGCAAAACAAAGAGTAAAACACAGGTCACTTGGGCAAAACCTAGGGCTAAGTAGGGTCAAGAATGCTTGTTTCCTTCAACAATAGCAATTAGACAGTCTTTATAATCCTCGGGGATTCCTGATCGGATGGCAGTGCTCAAAGTTTTCCCGGTCAATCTCAGATATTCCGCCTTGATATTCTCTAGATCAGTCTGCAGAGATATAAGAAAACAAGATTATTAGCAAGTTGTAAGCAAGTTTCAACGAAGATTGAACAAAGAATAGTTTTATAACAATAGTTGGGTGCCTTTTAGTGCGCTTAAAGATATAAAAATGAAATTGAAAGCGACACGCGTGTCTCTGTTATTTGATTTGATAAATCAAACCACCGTGCCTTGGTGATACATTAAAAATTACCTCAGCTCTAATCAGAATTAAGCGAAAGAGATCTTTATGCCTTGTTCCGCTGGCGTCTATAGATTCACGTATCCATTTCACATATGTAAGCAGAGGATCCAAAGCGTATTGAACTAGATTCAAATGATATTCAATAAATAAGTGAATGAGGATAAAAGGCTAGTGTGTTAAATTGACCGAAATACCAATTGACACCAGCATCTCACAACAATGACCAGTCGTTTCCCTCTGAATTGTTTCAATTAGGGTTTCCTTTGACTTCTAGAAAGTTGAAATACCATTTTTGTTTACGGGCGTAGACTAAATATTGGGAAAATTTTTTTGCAGTGAAAAACATACGTAAGCATATACTTTGGCGAGTGCTTTGATATGTTGAAAACTTCTTGAGCAGAGGATATATGAAAACACAACTTCTTTTGGCATATCCCACCTTTAACAATGGAGAATTCAATGTTTATTTTAGATGAAATTAGTAATGCAAAGCAATTGTGATATAAAATTCTTACTCTTCCTTGCCCAGGGAGAGCATATAAATTTCCTCTTCAAGTTTTCCTCCACGGATAGCTAGTCTTCTCTCCCGTTTGCCTTGTAATATGAGCTTTAGAGGGTACCGAAAATCTCCACTTATATTATTTTCAATATCCCGCTCAAGTTCTACACCAAATACTTTTTTAAAAAAGAAATATGATCAGTTTTTTAGTAAATTAGAAGCCAAAGATAAGGGCGAAGTAACTTACATTTTCTGTACGTTTGTTTTAACGCACATATCTCTTCATTTGAAGCGGTAATCAAAATTTGAATTAGCGTTTGACTATCGATATCATTCTGCATCAGAGCCTTATGTAGTCCACTGGCTTTCAATTCATGAACATCCTTCGTCAAAGAAATAATCGTTTCTTTTAATTTTCCTGTCACCTTGCATGCAAGCTTTCTTTCAAGGTGCTATACAAGATACAATTGAGTCAAATTGAGATGGTGTTTTTTTTTTTGG